GTTCTTTAGGCCGAAAGGCATGACCTTGTAACAATAAAGGCCGGTCTCAATCACGAAGGCCGTTTTCTCTTGGTCGGTAGGACCCATCTGGATCTGGTTATAACCGGAGTATGCATCCATGAAGGTCAATAACTAAAACCCCGAGGTTGCATCGGTCTATCCTAGGGAGTGGGAAGCTATCCTTTGGGCAGGCTCTATAGAGGTCGGTATAGTCGATGCACATGCGCCACTTCCCGTTGGCCTTCTTCATGAGAACTGAGTTGGCAATCCAGCTTGGATATTCGACCTCCCTCATGAAGTTTTCCGCGAGGAGCTTCCCGACCTCCTCGTCTATTATTCTCCACCTCTCATGGGCGGACTTGTAGAGGCGACCTCGCGATCAGGGCTGATGAGGCTCGTCTGGGTTGGTTGTTCTGATTCTGCCTCCCTACGGGGGTTCCTTTGATCCTGTTGCTGTTGTTACTAGTTGAGGATGCCGTTACTTGAGGCTCAGAGAATGGGTGAGAACTTAGCTTCTGTGTAGCGTCTTTCCATAGACGGTGTCAATTGATGGTGCGCGATTTGGTGCTCCCTATTGGCAGACAGCTCGAACGTCGGACTAAGTGGGTCACCTGGTCGAGCTGCAAGAAAGTGATGATCAGAGTGTTTGGGTTGCTTTAACCGGGGTGGGCACTTTGATGCTTAAGTTAGTGAAGAGCTTTGAGAGAGCTGAAAGCGAGAGAACTAGCTAGTGAACTGTGAGAGCTAAATCGTGTGTCCCTTTCTTAGAAAATGGGGGCACCTTTACATAGGCGTCGGTTGGCGTGAGCTTCACGCACCGCGTCCGAGACCCCTGGGAGGATGTGACTTACCGGTCCGAAGTCCTTGGAGGTAGTTTCACATGCGGACTAGGCTTCCGTGCCTTATCCGGCCTCTGGAACGATTGGTGCGGGAGCTGACTTCCGGAGGACCCGGGAGTGATAAGACGCACGCAGAGAAGGTCGGTGTGCACGTCTCGTAGGTCGCCACCTGGACCTCAGTTAGATCGGTAAGTCTTTCAGGGGAGGTCGCTCCTCACGCCGAGGTCCCTTGGACTGGTATTGACGAGGTTCTACAGGTTGGCCCTCCCGAGTTTGTTTTTTGAAATATTTTTCAAATCTGATTCCTTACTTGCTTATTACAATAAATGATTAATTTTTATATTGATTTTGTTAYGTGTGAGTGTGATGGGGTGAGCCATGGAGCGGATACCGATACCAAGAGGTAAGTGTCTTTTAAGTGTTGACTTCGTTAATGCTGATGTCTTTTAAGTGTTGACTTCGTTAATGCTGATTATTTAATGTTGTATAGGTTGTGTTCATATGTCATATTCTTTAATTCTTTTATATTTATATTTTATATTTTTATATTGAATCATTGAATTTGAATGTGTTAAACTGTTCTGTTATTATTATTATTTTTTTTTGTAGTCTAGTCTCCTTTAATTATTTAATGCTGATTTCTTAATTCTGTACTTATTGCATATTTTCCTGATTAACCAATTGGATCATTGCTGATTGCATATTCTTTAATTCTTTTATATTTAATGCTGTTTGCATATTCTGTAATTCTTTTATATTTAATGTTGATTTCTTAATTTTCATATTGAATCATTGCTGATTTCATACTTTATCAGTTTCTCTCTAATTTTTATTTCTGTAGATTCAAGATTGATCATTGATGATTGCATATTTTCCTGATCGACTTTAGATTGCTGATAAGCTGATTACATTACCTCTAATGAGTAATATCTAATAATCTAACTTCTAACCAATTGAGCTAATAATTAAGTAATTGACTTTGTTTTTTGAAAATTTCCTGATTTCTTAGAATTTCTACATGTTTTTTTTTTCTATTTTTAGTTTTTTTTTTTTAATTTTGTGCACCTTTTTTAAAAATCGCCTTGCGCCTCAGGCGCATTTGGAACCTGTCACTTTTAAAACATTGCTTGATAGAAAGCCATGGTGAACCATCCGGTCCAGGTGCTTTACATTTGTCATTTGTCAATGGAAAAGATAGCCTCCCTAACCTCCTCTTGCTCAAAACTCCTCTCCAACCACTCCTTTAGGTCATTTGACAAACTCGGCCACTCAAGACCCTCAAGCCACACTCTATCGTTTAGGGGTCCCCTAAAAATGGACCTAAAGTGTTATTTGAAAGCCCCGACAATCTCATTTGGTTGTGTTAGTCACACCATTCCACCACTAACCTTGAGATTTGAGTTTTCTTTTTCCTGCCATTAACTAGAGCATGAAAGAATTTAGTATTCCTGTCTCCCTCCTTAATCCATTTGTGCCTAGACTTTTATCACCAACTGATTTCCTCTTTAAAAAGTAGATCCTCTAGTTGCTTTCTCAGATTCCACCTTACTTCCTTTGTCCCCTTCCCCAAAAGTTCCCTGTTCCTCCTTATCTAGATCCTCTATTTGATTAATCAAAGTTTGTTTCCTCTCTTCAATCCTCCCGAAATGCTCATCATTCCAAACCTTAATCTTGGATTTCAGGTATTGAAATTTCCAAAGGAAACTCATTCCTTTTCAATTGACACTTGGGTTGCTCTCCTCCCACCACTCCTTGATCCTTTTCTACAAATCTCAGATGGTATAGCCACATATTCTCAAACCTAAAAAGGGAAGGGCTTCCCTCCCTTAACTCCTTGCAAATGGAAACTGGACAATGATCTGAAGTTACCCTAGGTAGAGTTCTAGATACTAACCCTCCCCAATGCTCCTCCCAATGGGGACGGGATCTCCTTGCCTCAACCCTCTTTTAGTTGGAAAGAAATCCCTGACCTCCCCATTTGCCAAGACAAAGTAATTAACAGTTTGAATGCATCCATTTATCCAAAGTTGCTTCCAATTTTACCATGGTGATCTGGAGATTTAGATTATCATCAAGGTTACCCATTACTCCTGTGCTTATGCCAGTGGATTTAGCTGTTTTTAACAAAGATATCCTAAGTGGCACTAAACAGAGTGGGTGGTGCAGCAGGGGGTTCATTTAGGTGGCACCATATAGTTGGACAATTCTTAGTTGAATTGAGTTGGGTAACATAGACCTAAATCAGCAGCACAAAAACAAATAGATAATGGGAAAAACAGGCATGTGCAAAAATAATTAGCACATTCAATAGTCAATAATGTTCAGAGAGGATCTAAGGACCTCAAACACAGTTACAAGAGATTAACCATGCCTGGTAGTTGAGAGCTTCAGTGAACATAATTGACTACCAAATATATATGGTACTGTCATTTTTATGGTAACTAAACAGCTCCAAAAAACACACCAAGTAGGAAGAAGAAAATATGGCTAAGAGAAACATCAGTTGGTAAGGTCTCTGGTTGGTTGTAGCAGAGACATGGGATCAAATCTCACTGTTACCAGGGTTGGGTGGGGGGTATGGGTATGTAGGATGGGCTACTCCCCGTTATGCAGCATTCAAATCATAGAAACTGGATGTTTTTCTTATTTTGTGATAAAACTTTCTTAAAAAAGTTATCTATTGTTGCTGAGCTACATCCGGACTGCTCTTAAAATAAGCTAGAACCCATTCTGTATTAGAATCTAGTTTTTCCTTGTTTGGAAAAGATTTCCACTCAGTACCCTTCTGGCATCAGCAGTTGCTTCATGGCTCTGGCCTTCTGGGATCAGCGAGCAGGATTCCTCTGTTACCAACATGTGACCAGTTACCTGCTGCAATAATTAGAATAAGAGAAACTAGAAGAAACAGAAAAAAGAAGATAATAGAAATTATAGATAAGAAGAGAAAGAGAAGAAAGGCTTGAGAGTAGGGATGCAAACGGATCAGATTGGATTTGAATCAGGGTATATCCGAATCTGATATGATAACACATATCCAAGATCTGATTGGATCTCACAAGTGGTTATTTGAATCTGAATCTGTTAAGGATGGCGGATATCCGAATATGATCCGATCTGATTCAAATTATGAAGAAAATTAATAATAATAAATTATTAAAAGAAAAAATGTAAATATTTATATAAAGAAAACAAAAATATAAGTATTTACAAAAAATGCAATATAAACATATTTATAAATGAATATATTAATATAGGCATGTCTTTTTATAAGTATATATATAGGTCGGATCGGAACAGATAGGGAGGGGATCCGAATCCGGTCTAATCTGACCTGGAAATCTGACAGAGGTTGACCCGAATCCGACAAAAAATAGGATCAGATCCTGATCCAATCCATTTGCACCCCTACTTGAGAGTTTTGGCTAGGCTGTGCTAGTTTAGTACCTATGAGTCCTGCTAGGGCCATAGCCCAGGCCTGAAATATGAGTCCTGCTAAGCCAGACTTCTGAGTGTCAAACATTAAATATATATCATTTATATTATATGATAGTGGGCAAGAGATATTAATTTGAATGGATTAATCAAAGTTTAGATGTCTGACCAGAAATATTGAATCGAAAATACAATCAATACAAAGGTCACCCAATTGTATGGATGATGCACTCACTAGCTAAACAAGAGGTGGTTAGAAATCAGTTGTTTTGAGCACAATTATAAGTAAAATGAAATAGGAGAGTTTAATGGGGTGGCAGATTCATTGGCAAAACTAGGGGTTACTAGGGACCTATTTTATTAGGCAAAGCTGTAATGTAATTGTTATGTTTGTATTGGGCTCAAATCTTCTTTATTATATGGGGTCAAATCTACATCTGGTCCTATTATTAATTGGATGCAGGTTCTATGTTCTGAATCTGAAATAATTGGGTTTGATGTTGGATTGGGTTTCAGACTTTTGGAGTCCATTAACTTTTCTACCTCTAATTCCGACCCAGTCATTATACTTAATAGTAATATATGCCCAATGATGCAACAATACTATTGGTATATATTTCTATATTAGTATAATTTTTTAAGTGGACATTTTGTCTTTTCCTTTCCCTATAACCTCCTAGGAAATTCATTATTTATTTCTTTATTTAGACTGACTTCTTGCTTTTCTAGATTGTTTTTTCTGATGCATGGTGGATTGGAAAAAAAGATGAGAATCCAGGGGAGGCCCGGCTTGAATTTCCTAAGGAATTGAACCAGAATGAGGTTAACTTTCCTAAATTCACTTTATTAACTTTCCATTGAAAGACTGTTGTTCAAATTCTGATATCTTTCTTGGACAACTAATTGGTTTCAGGGACAAGGAGACCATGATTTTAAAGGTGGTGCAGGTGTCATATCTGAAGAAAAACCAGGTGTTAACAAACTTGAAAAGGACTATGAATGCCACTCCCCTAGAGACGTGCCAGAAGATGATGCATCTGAGGGTTCTGATCATTTGCTTGCTGATGATCTGAAAGATATGATGGACATGACACCAGTTCGGCATTCAGCAAGAACAGCTGGGAAAACGTTCAAGTATTAGCCTACTTATTTCATCTGACATACTTGTTAATTTTAGATAGCAACTGGAGGAACTCCCTAATAGTTCAACATCAACTTTATCCTGACAAATCCAAAAACTATCAAAGTCTCTCCCCGAACAGATCAACAACAACCTTAGAATCAGAAACTATTATAATTTATTTCCATCCCTGCTCCAAAGCAAAAAACAGAGATTTAAAGATCACCCACAGCTCCACTTCCAACGGGTCACCAATCATCCCTAGACTTCCTCCTGTGTCCACAACAAGAGATTTATGTCTTTTTTCTATCTAGGATTGGACAAGAAAGAAAGTTAAAAAGAAAGTGCATTAATCTAAATGTAAGGCATATGACAACCTCTATCATATACTAGGCATTAAAGAGGGAGAAAGTGGTATTATAAATTGTTGAAAGATCAATTTAGATTATTTTTGTTATTTATTCTCTTATTTTTAATTGTTATTATTACAGTCTCATAGTTTTTTTGGTTTTCATATTGCTATCATAGTGCCATTAGTGTTTATTCTTTGATTTGGGTGGCTAGGGGTATTATGGTCATTGTACCTGCATCTTTTAATATAGGGGCAACAGCTAGAATTTTTGCTTCTTCTAAATTTCTGTATTCTTCCTTTCTTCTTYGCCATGCTTCTTTTTTACTATTCTTCAGATTTTACCATTCTTTTATTACCTATTGGTTTTTTACAAGTATTAGAGCATACAGGGTAGTTCTACGATGAAGCCCATGCAGCTGCAAGACCAAAAAATTGCATAGAGATTTGAAGAGAGACTGGTGGTGTGTCCGGAAGCGCGTCCTTAAACACCTCGGAACACCAGTTTAAACATTTATAATTTTTATCGTTTCTCAAACAACTACTAATGTAGTAAATGGGTGAGAACAGGTCGTATCCATAGGGAAGCAAGTGAAAAATTAATATATACTTAGATCCGGACAAGAGAATACAATCGAGAATTGCAGAAAATAAGAAAATAGAATCTATTATTGCTGAAATTAAATGTTTCGACTTTAAACAAGACAATAAATAAAAATAAAAATTTAATAAAGTATGGGAATCAACAAAGGTAATAAAAGAAATAAATAAAAAAAAACGATCCAGAATCCGGATCCGGTGGCGGTAGCTGCAGATCGGCCAGACAGCTTGCAGAAACCCCTTCTGACAAGAACCGGGCGTCYGTCCTTTCTACAACCCTCGAACCCCTTGAGACACCTTAGCCTTGAACCAAACGAATTCAGATCTGCAAAACAGAGAAACGAAAAAAGAATTAAATCTAAAAGATTGCAGAAATAAACATAACAGAAAAGAAAATAAAGAAAAGAAAAGAATGGTTGATCAGATCCCATGGCGGTAGTTGCAGAATGGTTGAACAGCTTGCAGGAACCCCTCCTGACAAGATCTCGGCGTCCTCCCCTTTTACAACCCTTGAACTCCTCAAGAAACCTTAGCCTTGTAACTGGGTGAATTGACCAACCCCTTCTACAGGGCCCCTGGGGTCCTTTTTATAGAGAAGGGTGGACACAACTGGGAATAGAGAGAAAGAGGGGGGCGGCAGCTGGGTTTTAGTTAAAATATGGGTGCCCTAGGGTTTAGAATGAAGGGTTAGGATGGTTCTAGGGTGATCTTAAGGCTGAGAAGAAAAGGAGAAGGCAACCAATATTATGTAAGGCTGAGATTTAATAGCTAAAGGCTGAATGGTGAAGATTAGAAGTTAGGTGGTTCATAGGGTTAGAATGCTAAAAAGAGAGTGCCCTAGAATGGATGGTGGAGATTAAAAGGGATGGAAGGTGAGGGTTTAGCAGTTAGGGGTGGCTAGGGTTTGTTTAGAGTGAAAAGAATGGGTTAAAAGGCGCCCTAGGGTTGCTAAGGTGTGGGGAGCATGCTAATAAAGTAGGAGGGGTGCCAAACTGGGTTTAGTAGGTAGGAGGTTCCCTCCTGCTTTCAGTTTTTCACAAAAACACCTCCTCTCTCAGCTGGACTTCACACCAGCTTATCAAAATCTGCATTTCAGCCATGAAAACTTTCCAGTTTTCCCCAAAATTTGCAGAGACCCTTAGAGGCCACAACATTGCATTTAACTGGGAAAATGGCACATCTTGACTATTCTAAGGCCGAAAATACCCCTGAATTGATGCCCTTAAGGCATCAAAATGCATGGTTATCAATTGGTCAATCTAGATTAGCTCACCTTGTTCTAGAAGTTTTTTGGAGTCTCTATTGAATAATTATTATACAAGAAAGATTCTTGGAGTTTCCTAAAAGTCATGAACAAGATAAAACCTGGAATAACCTTATGGAGATTGAAATGTCACCTTTTGTGGTGGTGTTTGGGTTTTAGATGATTGCCTATAGTTTGTTTAAGTGGGTGGTTATTACAGTGATTTAAAAGGCGTGCCTAGGCACACAAGCAAGGCGCATTTCAGGGTATGCGCCTCGCCTAGGTCCTAGGCGTGCCCTTTCAAAAGGCGTACGCCTGGTGTGCCTAGGCATGCGCCTCGTGCGCCTTGTACCTTAGCCCAGGCGTGTGCCTTTTGAAAATTTGACGTTTTTTTGCTTTTTTGAATGTAGCGGCTAGGCTGGGGGTTCCGCCCCCGGACCTCCCGTGCCACGCCCCTCGAGGAAAGCCCAAACAAGTCTGCTCCAATCTGCTTGCTCATCGAATCTCTGAGAACCCCCAATTTGGTAATGTTGCTCATTCATTCATCCTAATAAAATGTCTTCTTAAAAAGCAATTAAAACTATAAAACTAAGAATTTAAGACCTAACGTGGACTTGTTTGGGCTTGCCTCGAGGGGCGTGGCACAAAGGCGGCTTGTAGAATCAGGAATGTAATATGTTTTACATTACATTAGCTACTTGAAGTAATGCAATTGAGTGAAAAAAGAGATTAGAGGTTTTACATGCTTGAAAATGTTTTACATGTTTGATTTTATTTTTAAATTCTCATTTGAATATGCTTTACATCTTATGTTTATGTATTTTAATTTTAGATAATAGGTTTTTTAAAACATTTATTTTAAAATTTAAGTTTATATTTTTTATTAATATTATGATCAATATTTTTTGATTTTTTAGCTTTTTTTTTTTTTGTATTTTTGCGCCTTGCTTCAAAAAGGCACACGCCTCGCTTTGCGCCTCAGGCGCAAATTGACCCCTGCGCCTTCTTTGCCCCTTGTGCTTTTAAAACACTAGGCTATTCTTAAGAAGGGATCTGGGGACTCTGGACTCAGTGCCCCATTCTCTCCCTTTTCTTGGAGGCAGCTATGGTGATTTCTACCCTAGGATTGATGTGGTTGAGACCATAGTATATTTAGCAAAGTGACATTGTTTATGTGTTTCTAGGAGGACAAGGTTGATCGTTTGTGGGATTGTGGATCCTATAGGGATGGATTACAAGTTTGGAATGGAGGTAGGGATGACTATAAGTGGTGTTGGGAGAATCCTAATATAAACCATTGTAAAGCTAGATGGTATGAATTATTTGGAATAATCACTGTTTGTATGCATGTACATAGGAGGGCATGCCAAACTAGTGTAAGGGCATGTGCTATGCATGTGTGCAAGTAGAGGGTAAAGATATAAGTTGATCAATAACAGAATCATTTTAGTAAATTTGATTAAAGAAGGTACAAGAGAAAAGGGGAGGGACAAGCTCCCTTAACCCTCCCCACAATGTTTACTCAATCTTATATGAAAGCAAAACTGGGGTATATTATAGGTGCTTTGAAGGAATTAGATCCTACAGGCCTTGTACATGCCAAATGGATCTAGGAGAATTTCATGGTTATGTCTTGGTTGTGTGGATCTATGCTTCCACATTAGCAGAAAACATTTGTGGATGAGAACAGCCAAGGAAATTTGGGATGACCTAGCAGATACTTGTTCTTAGGCTTTAGATGTTGTTATAGGCTTATAGCATATTGGTTACTTTGGTGAAATTAACAGTTTTAAGTAGAGGGGGAATACTTTGGTAGTATGCTTAAGACACTTTGCTAGGAGATAGATCATCTTGAGGCAGTACAGACTGCAGGGGAAAGTCTTAAAGATGCAGCTACACATCAAAAGATGGTTGAGTGAAATAGGGTTTTGTGAGTTTCTAGCTAGTCTCAACCTTGAGTATGGCATAGTGAGGCAGAATATAGTTACACATGAGAGAATTACACTCTAACAAGCCTATTCATCGGTCCATGGAGAGGAAAGTAGGAGAGATGTGATTCTGAAGCCTTCATTGTATTGATTCTACATCATTAGTGATAGCTAAGCCCATATCAGTAGGAGACAGGTGGAGTAGTGGTGATAGATTGATAGTGAAAAGGAGGACAAGTAGGGGTTGGTATGTTATTATTGTAAAACGGCCAAACATATCAGGGAAACTTGTTGGAAGCTTCATGCTAATCTAATTGCTTGCTTGTCTAAGAAGCAAGAGGGGAAATGCATATAAGGTAACTCGTCATGAGAACAATAATATACAACCTAGAGAATCTGGAAAAGTCATCAACAAATAACAAGAAATATTTGTGCCATCCATAGCAAGAATATKGTATGGTCTCTTAACATTTTTTTTTGATCAATAACAAGATTTATATTAAAGATTTAAAAGATAGATACGTGATGTACAATATACAGACAGACATTGTGAGGCAAACAGATTTGTCTCTCCCCGACAACCTATAAGTATTACAACATTGCCCAGAACATATTCTCCCTCTCCACTCTTTGCTTGGCTAAACTATCTGCCATAGAGTTAGCAGACCGCTTAACCCATTGAACCTTTACTTCCATATCTTTTCTTAACCATTTGAATTTCTTCTTTGGAGAGTTAAAAATCCACATCCTTTGATCATTGCACCGCAACCAGCTCACCACCAGTTTAGAATCTCCCTCAATTACTAATTTTCTGATGTTCAACAAAGCTGCTCTTTGTATTCCTTCCATTGCAGCCAGCACCTCTGCTCTGAGGGAATCTCCTTCCCCTACTGTTCCTGAGTTAAGTGCTATAACAA